CCAATCAGAAAACTATACGCTGACTAAAGGGACTTGGGGGTGGAGAAAAGGGAAATACAAGGCCTGCCCCCTCCTGCATTAAACAAGCCTGCAGCACCTTGCCTAGTGCTTGCTTCTACCCGACTCCTGGGGTCTGTGAGTTGACTTTGTGCCTCTTGCCCCCCCAATTGGCAGGGGACCCAATCCAGGTCAAGGTCTTCACAGCTGGCCTGAGGAGAACCCGCAACAGTAGATAACCTTGCTAGGGCCAGGATGGAACTCTCACAGTACATCCGTGGCCACTGGAGCCAAAAGTTTCTCAACTACTCCACGTTGCTCACTGACCAGATCATCTCCCTAAATTATACACAGGCTCAGACGTTAGATATAAACTCTGGGTTCCTCGACAAACTTTGGTCGACCTTAAAAGCTTTGTTTGATGCTTCATGGATAGTCTCATAGTCTTAATTCTTTTCTTGCTCATAAAATGCCTTGTTCTATGCTTCTGCACACAAAACCAAGTAAATTACTCAGTGTATCGGGTTCTCAAGTCGCTTGAGGATCCAGGCTTTGCCCCCTGCCCCCCGCCCCGAGGTCCGGCAGGTCTGGCTTGCTCTCATCCGAGAAGCAGCTGTGTAACTTCTTGCCCTCCTCCTCCCTCACATGGTCATGCCAGAGGTCACATCCTTCAAGGGCTGGTAGTCAATGATGGGTAAGATCCTGATGGTCAGGACGACCTAAGACAGGGACAACCCATCAAGCTGGGTGTCCTCTGAGGTGGGGTCAACTATGTCAAGGCAAAGAACCTCAGCTCCCACTGACCTTTCTATAATAAAAAGGGATGGATACGTAGGAGGTGAAGTGCCAGGCCTAAGCACAGGCCGCACTAGAGAACACAGCTTCCACCTTCAGAGCACAGCCTGTGCATCCGCAAAAGAGTCAATCTAATCTGCCCCCAGACCTAGAGACTGATGATGTGAGCGGCCTGGATGAGGGGATCTGTCAGGGAGTGACACACCAGCTTATGGGACACTGGGGACAGGGGGAGAGATATATAAGGCCTGCTCTTTCCAGCAATAAACGAGTCTGCAGCACTTCACCTAGTGCCTGCTTCCACCTGATTCCCAGCGTCTGTGTGTTGACTCCATGCTGCTCACCCCCACCTCGGCCAGAACCTTGATCCCTGCAGTCCCTCATGGGCTGGACCCATGAGGAAACCTGCAACAATTCATACGTTTACAGTCTTTAGAAGCACCTTTTTTCTTCCTTTAATAACACCTTCCCTTTTACATCTCATGATAGAATTTTATCATTTTATCCCTAAGGGCATACACAAAATATTTAAATTTATCTTTACAAAAAATACAGGGTTTTGCTAATACAAAGAGAGCCTTTAAAATTATATTTTATGTTTGTTCTGTCTATAGGTGCACTTTATATTTTTGTAACTTTTTATCACCAGCAGGTTTTCTGAATTCTCTAATGAATTCTCTAGTTCTCCTGGGCCTTGCTGTCAGACACTGCCAGGTGGCCCGCTGGGCTGGCCGAAGGCAGAAGGAGGGGGCCTACAGGCCTCTGCAGTCTTCAAGCCAGCTGTGTCCCAGCTGGGTTTGGCCAGTAGAAGGCTTGGGCAGAAAGGAAAGAGAGGAAAGGACACTTATCCACCCACAGCCTCTTCTCCCCAGCAGCTCCAGCATCTGCTGCACAAGCCCACGGTGGCCCCTGCTTTCCATGAGGGACCCCCCAACAGGCTCTGCAGCACCACCTCCCCTCCCCCCTGGGTCTCTCCCTGGCTTCCTGCTGTAGTGAACCTCTGGGTCACCTTACTGCCTGTCTTATCTTTTCAGCTTTTCCAGCACGGTACACCATGCTTGAATATCTCCATCAAAATTCAAAGTGAAATTCAATCCCTACCACAAGGTATTAATTAGTGTTGGGCCAGATGCACAGTCAAGTGACAATTAGGTCATGTGGGACAGAAGCAGTCAGGGATCTACAGGCCCATCTGGAGAGTGGGTCTTGGGGAAAGCAGGTTCGATAAGCCCTTCTCTGTCACATGATACACTGCCCTGCACAGGGCTCTGCAGAGAGTCCTCTCCCTCAAGAAGGCCCTCACCAGATGCAGGCACTCCACCTTGGACTCCCAGCCTCCAGAGTCTTAAACTGAATGAATCTTTATTCTTCATAAATTAGACAGTGTGTGATATTCAGTTACAATAGAAAATGGGCGAAGACACTGCAGCCGTTGCTCTAAATTTCCTGCTATCAACATCTAGCAAGGGTTTCTGTTTTCTCTGTCTCAAGTATCTTCTCCGAAGGAAGGGGAGGTCACAGCGCATAGGGCTTAAGAGACGAAAGCACAGACACTGGATGGGACTTGGGATGGTTAATGTTGTCAAATCAATGGGGTATAGATTCACCTAGGCAATGACCCTCTGGGCATCGTTGTGAGAGACTTTCTATTGGGTTGACAAGGCGGGAAGATCCACTCTGATGGCAGCACCATCCCATGGCCAGGGTCCTGGGCTAAGTGAAAGAGAACCCACATTGAGCACCAGCACTCATCTCTCTGCTTCCTGCCCATGCGTGTGGTGTGACCAGCTGCCTGTCTCTTCCTTCCTCAAGTTGCTTTGGTCAGATGTTCTGTCACAGTAATGAGAGAAGAAAACAGAGCTGGAGATTTCTGATCTGGAGTATGGCATTGTGAGTCCAGTGGGTAGCACACATGTAATCACAAGGTCATCGTGCCCCTCAAAAATCTTAAAAATATCGACGTTGGAGGCTAGAGAGATGGCTCAGCAGTTAAGAGCACTGACTGCTCTTGCAGAGGACCTGGGTTTGATTCCCAGCACCCACATGGTGGCTTGATTTTTATAAAAGTAGCCTCACATTCCTCAAAAGCAACCTAGGCAGCCATTATCACCATAACCTGTGCATTCAAGGTGCCAGCTACTGCAGTCTGCTGGAGACTAATAACATGCTGCTCAGCTGAGTGATCCCTGAAGTTAGTGATCTAAATTTTTTTATTATATTATTTATCATGTACACACTCAGGCCACAATGTGTGTGGAGGTCAGAGGACAACTTGCAGGAGACAGTTCGCTCCTTTCACCACATGGGTCCCAGGGATTGAACTCAGGTCATCAGGCTTGGTGGTAAGTGCCTTTATCCATTGAGCCACCTCACTAGCCCAAAATTAGTCACTTTAAAATTTTTTAAAGGGGCTGAGGAGATGGCTCAGCAACTGCTCTTTCAGAAGGCTGTGTTAGAATCCTAGCACCCACATGGCAACTAACAACTGTTCAGTTCCAAGGGATCTGACTCCCTCTTTAGATCTCTGTGGGTATTGCACAACATGGGTGCACTTACATGCATGCAGGCAATACATGCATACACATAAAAATATTTAGTGAATTTAAAAGCCTTATTTTTATTTTTAGTTATATGTACATGTGTGGGTATGCACACAGAAACACAGGTGTCAAGGGAGACCAGAGGCATCAGACTCCTGTGGAACTGGAGTTACATGTAGCTGTGGGCCACTCGATGTGGATAGTGGGAACTGAACTCAGGTCCTCTGGAAGAACAGTATCAGGATTCATTCTTAACACATGAGCCATCTCTCCAGCCCCAATTAGTGACTTTTAAAATCAACTTTAAAGGCAAGTGAAAATAATGGGTTTATTTCGGCTTTCCTTTGGTGACAACCAGTCCTTATGCTTCATCGTTCTGGCTGAAACACAAACTTGAACCAGGACACCCTCCCCTATTCTCAGGCCCTCAGTTCCAGCCTGTATCACATCACCAGCTCTCCTGTCCCCAGTTTGCCATGGCAGGCAGTGGGATGCCTTGGCCTTTTTAACTGCATGGCCCAGTTCATATGATCAATCTCAGGCAGATCTCTGTGAGTTTGAGGCCAGCTTGGTCTTCATAGTGAGTTCTAGGCCAGCTGGAGCTACAGGGAGACTGTCTCAAAAAAATACATAAATAAATAAAAAGGTTCAAACTGGGGCTGGAGAGACGGCTCAGTGGTTAAGAGCGCTGGCTGCTCTTGCAGAGGACCTGGGTTCAATTTCTAGTGCCCACATGGCAGCTAACAGCATCTGTAACTCTGGTTTCAGGGGCTCCTACACTCTCTTCTGACCTCCATGGACACTGTAAGACATAGGTACACTTACATACATGCAGGCAATATACTTATACACATAAAATAAAAATAGTAAAGCAAATCTCATAGATCTACCTGTAGTCTGTTGGTTCTGCTTCTCTGAAGAACCCTGATACACAGGCCTAGTCTTGAAGAATTTGAAACACAGTGAACGTGGTGTGTACAGTCGTCATAGCTGCAGCTTGGCCTCCAGGCTGGGTGATTGCCTCCAAAAATATCTCTTTTACTGCATCAAGATCTATTCTGCAATCACCCTAGGATTCAGAAGTTTCAATAACCTTTTCTGGAATATTTCTTTGGATTTTTGTTTGTTTTTGAGTCAGGATCTCACCAACCCCAGGTGACCTGGAACTCACTATGTACACCAGGCTGGCTCTGAATTCACTGAGATCCACCTGCCTCTGCCTCCTAGTGTGGGGATTAAAGGCCTGTGCCACCGTGTCTGACCTCTTTCTTTTTTTTAATATTATTTTATTTAAAATTTTTTTTGTTTATTTTGATGTGTATGAGCGTACTGCCTGCATGTATGTAAGTGCACCCATGTTGTGAGAGGCCTGTAGAGGTCAGAAGAGGGGGTCGGATCCCCTGGAGTTACGGACGGGTGTTAGCTGCCATGGGGGTGCTGGGACTCGAACCCGGGACCTCGCCAAGAGCAGCGATCTCTCCATTTCTAATGGTCTCTTGCTATTCGCGTTTCCAACCCCTTGTCCTGCTCCATCTCTGTAAGCCTCCTGCCCCATCCTTCGGCCCCTTCGCGTTCCCACCTGGGATTGGTGAACCCCGCTCGGGAGGCGTGGCCTTCGAGCACCGCCCAAACCCGGAAGCGGCCCGGAATGCGCGCGCAGACCGGGAACGCGCGCCTGGTCCACGATTGGAGAACGTGATCGCGGGGCGGGGCTTAGGCTGCGCATGCGCACGCCGGGGTCCTGTCCCTCTGTACGACCTCGGCGTCTGCGCCATGGCGGCCCGGCTCGTGCTGTGGCGAGGACGAGCTCGGGCGCTGAAGGTAAAGGTCGGGCTGGTCTGAGCCGGCCTAGGCAGGACCTGCAGGGTCCCCGGGCTGCACGTCCCATGGGCTGCACGTCCCCCGGGCGGCACAGTCGCTCCCTGGCCGGGACTGACCCCGCTCGGCTTCCGTCCTTGTTTCTTACTTAACCAAGCACCTAGCACCACCCCCAAACGCCGACCCATGCCGCGGTTGCGTCGGCGCTGTCAGGGGCCTGGCTGACTCGGTTGCTCTGGGTGGGAAAGGTCTTCTCCATCCGTGTTCACAGCTGGGCTGAGACTAAGCGTGGCTTTTATTGCACAGCAGTGTGGGGTTTGGGTGGTTTGGGCGCTGGGCGTGGGACCCAGGGATGCTCGACCCGAGCTGTGCCTTTGAGTCTCCAGCCCCCAAGGCTAGGAGTCACTACGAGATGGATCGCAGGTGACAGATGGGCACTACCTATCCCTCAGGTATCTAGCGCTAATGACCTTTCTATAGCGTTTGTTGGTACGTGTAATACCTGCACAAGCTTAGAGTCATAAATATAAATACAAGTTTTCACTTTCTTTTCAGTGTCCAGCATGAAACATGTAATTAATTACCCAGCACTAGGACCTTCGCCTAGGACCTCAGTTCTTGTCTGCCAGTTACAGTAAGATGCTTCCCACTTAACATTGTCAACACTTCTGAAACAATTTTCTACATTGTTTTTAGTAGCAAATAGTGTTTCTGCTACATTACTAAGTCTAGAAAGAGATTTGCAAAAAGAAACATAGTATTTTGTATCTTAACCGGAAGCTGTAGCTGGCTGAGACCCAGGGGTCTGACAGGGCTGAATACCAGCTGGGCCTTGAGTTCAGGTTCCCGGCAGTGCCGCTGACACCTATGTGATGACTGGGGTCCAGAGGCCAGTGTCCCCTCCTCCTTCCTTTCCTCCTGGGATGCAACCTCAGGTCTCTGTCTACTCAGGGCTTTGCATCCCAAGCGGCTACATTACCTCTCCGGGCAGCACCTAGCTCCCAGCACTGGCCTGAGCCTGTGGTTTCTGCAAAACACAAGCTCTTCTCCAAGGTGCCCTGAAGCTTTGTGTGAAGAAGCTGGTGGCGACTTTTTGCTTTTAATAAAAGTTTTTCCTAAGTTGGCCGTTTTGGGAAATCCTTTCAGAGGCTGGAATAAAGTCTTGTTGACCCGTTAACAGTGATTGTCCCGGAACTGGACTGTTTTCTTCCAGCATTTTGTGCTTTCCTGGATTTTCATAATGCTTAGTATGAAAATGGAAATAACCACCATGTGTGCCGTGTGAATGTTAATACACAGTAGTCACATGATCATGGCTCTTGTCAGTGGTCAGTGTCCCACCTGTTGACTCTCCTCAGGCTGTGCTCCTGGAGGTGCAGGTGTTCCGAGGACTTGCGTCTACAGTGCCCCTCTCTGCAGAGTCAGGGAAGGATGGAAAGGGACTTCATCCAAATCTCAAGAAGCCCGGTCTGCCCAAAGGTAAGGGTTTAATGATAGTCCCCCAGGACGGAGGACATGAGGCAGATCGCATGCAGTGAGCTTTACGAGGGACATAACCCAAGGCTCTTAATCTTTCCAGTGTCCAGATGATAATCAGACATAAGACTGAAGCCAGACTTTAGGGTACAGTATCAGATGTATCAAAGTCTCCTATTGTGTTAGCTCTGGATCAGTGGTTTCTGGATGCTGAGCCACAACAGGGACCAAATGATGCAGTGGAGAGGGCTCTGGCCCTGAGGCCCTCCTGGGAATCCGACACTAGTGTGAGGTGGTCATACCCCATCTTACTTTCCTTCCCCTGGTTCTGACTTTCTCTGTCTCTTCAAGACCCTACTATCAGGGAGTTAGGAGGTGACAGTTTTCTGCTGCGCTGCACTTAGGTAATGCTTGGTGCCTGGTCTGTTAACTGCTCTCTACACACTCGTTTTGATTTCTGTCACTAGTTTGCAACTTTTCCACCTTTTCTCTGAAAGCCAGTATATTCCTGCAATCTCTTCACTGCAAGAAAGCAGGAAATATAATGCATTTTAAGTGTTTCTCTTGTGGGAATAATCTTATTTTCTATGCCTTGCTCATTATTGATAATTGGTCATGACCTTGGCATATTGAAAGCCTACACAGAGCTTACTATTCTTGTTAAATCTTTTCATGCTCATTTGGGGTTGAACAGTTGTAACTGAGATTGGTCTTAAGTTTTTTTTTTTTTTTTGGTCTTTTTGAGACAGGGTCTCCCTGTAGCCCCAGCTGTCCTGGAACTCACTATTTAGACCAGGCTGGCCTTGAACTCCCAGAGATCCACCTGCCTCTGCCTCCCGAGTGCTGGGATTAAAGGTGTGTGCCATCACACCCAGCGGTCTTGTTTTAAAAAAAGCATTTCCTCAGCCTGAATGTTTGAACCTGTACAGATTCTTTTGTTTGTTTTCTCCTTGTCCTGAGCACTGAGCATCATTAGGTCTTACACATTTGCACTTTCAGAGTGTCTGCACACTCCCTTTCATGTTCTCCATCTGGACTGTCCTGGTAGTTAGTGTCTGTGCCCTGGTCTACTTGAGGCCAAAGTTTCAAAGAAATGTGATTCAGTTCTGCCCACTCCCTGCCTACTTTTATTTATGTTTTATCAATTCTTATTGAATTTTTACAAATTTCATCCAATATATTTTGATCATATTTAGATCCTCTTTTGGATCTGTACCCCTCCTTATGAATTCTCCCAAATTTCTGTACTTTCTAGATATGTATATATCTACACATATATACATATATACACATGTATATATCTATATATGTACATATATATATATATACACATATATATACACACACACACATATATCCTACCAAGTCAGGTTTGTGTCCCCAAATGCCCTTCATTGTGGGTCTGTCCATTTGAATCCTGGTCAGCCTACTAAGAGTCTCACCCTTAAATGAGACTGATCCCCTCCCAAAGCAGGGTTGGAGTTTTTCACCCATTTTTCCACATCTGTGCTGGGATTTTGTCTGGCTTGGGCTTACATGGTACTTACTCATGCTGTCACCATTCCTGTGAGTTCATATGAGTAACTGCCCAGCTGCCTGGAAAACTCTTGTTTCCTGTGGTCACCCACCTCCTCTGACTCTTAGACTCTTTCCTCCCCCCTTTTCTGCAGTGATCCCTGAGCCTTGGGACGCAGGTGTCCAATTCAGGGATAAGCACTCTGCAGCCTCCTGTTCTTTGCACATTGACCAGTTGTGGCTCTCTGTGTGAATCACTACAAAGTACAAGAGTGCTTCTCTGCTGAGAACTGAGAGATGCATTAATCAAGGCAGGTCTGGGGGGCTCCAGATGGGGGGTCCGCAGGGTCCTAACGGCAGAGATGGCAAGTATGCCCCCACCTAGTTTTAAAATACAATGCTCTTTTCCTTTTGAATGCATTTTAAGAACACTTGTTTTAAACACAAGGACATAATCACAATACTAGTCAGTACAGGTGAGAAACATTTGCAACAAGAATGTTAGTTCAGGGGCTGGAGAGATGGCTCAGCGGTTAAGAGCACTGGCTGTTCTTTCAGAGGACCCGGGTTCCATCCCAGCACCGACATGGCAGCTAACAACCGTCCGTAACTCAAGTTCAAGGGGATCCGACACCATCTTCTGGCCTCTTTAGGCATTGCACACACGGTACACTTACATACATGTAGGCAAAAACACTCATATACATAAAATTAATAAAATATTTTTTTGTTCCAGATGTGGCATGTGTTTGTTTTTGCATGCCCCGGAGGAAGCCTAGGGCCCTGTGCAGCCCAGTGTATTTCTGGCATTCTTTAAGTGTTTACCAACGAAACACTGTTGGATTTCGTGACTAACCATGTTCTCTTCTCTGGTGGATTTTTGGGTTGTGTGTAATCTTTCCTCCTAGATTTATGGTTTTAGACTAAATGGGTTTTAGAATACCATGGCAGAGCCCTCTCTGTAAGAACTGGTGTCTGTGTGAGTGGCCTGCTTCATCCCAGGAAGGTCTGGGAAGAAAGAATGGGCCCAAGAGTTAGCCCAGGGCTCTGCCCCTGGCTGGGACAACCCTACAGCCATCTGAGCCTGTGCATTGCCCTTGAGAGGCCAGCACAGCACTTCCTTGGGTGCTGTGAGGCTGACGGGGGTGTGGCCTGTGTGTGCTTTGTGATTGCCAAGTGCTTTGGGGCAGAAAAGTCTTCAGAAGCAAATTGTCTTCAGGCATGTGACTTTTATATGTTATAATTTAAAATAATCCCTGTACTTAAGAAAAAAATACTGTTTCTAAATAAACGCATGTAGGCCTGTATTTTCCCTTGAAGTGTCAGGGATTGGAAAGCATAAGGTTAAAAAAGTACTTCTTCCCAACGCATGGCAGATCACCACCGGCTTAAGCCGTCCGTCCTGGTCTTGGTCTCCAGCCCAAGGATCAGGACCTGCCCTCAGGGATAACACTGTCTGCTCTCTCCAGCGCTTGGTCGTCATGCTTCCTGAGAAGAGCAGCTGTGTCAGCACCAGGCATCCTCAAGGGCCCCTGGGGAGAAGTGCCTGCTTTTCTCTGTGGTTTGTTGGTCCAGCCACGACCGCATTATGTAGATCGGTAGTAAGTTATTGGCTGGGTGATTTTTCTTTTTTTCTTTTTTTGGTCCTTTTTTGAGAAAGGGTCTCCCTGGAACGCACTATGTAGATCAGGCTGGCTTTGAACTCCACCTGCCTCTGCCTCCCGAGTGCTGGGATTAAAGGCGCTGGTTGAGTCATGGCCCACAAAAGTTGTTTGTTTTCAGCTCTTCCAGGTCTTGCATGTTGGTCTTGAACTTTAGCTGTCCGTCTGGCCTCTGCCTCCTGCATGCTGAGGTCACAGGTGTGCACCACCATGCCCGGCTCTTGTGTAGCTTTTTAAAGGAGTGTGCTATGAAGCCAAAATTAGTCCATACTTCAGGCTCTAGTTCAGGGTCTTTTTAATAGCAATGTTCACCAAGGACAGAAGAGGCTGTCGGATCCCCTGGGACTGGAGTTACAGACAGTTGTTAGCTGCCATGTGGGTGCTAGGATTCAAACCCAAGTCTTCTGCAAGAACACCTAGTGTTCTTAACCGCTGAGCCATCATTCCAGCCCCCCATTTCAGTTTTAAAAGTGCATAGTTTCTGGAAATAGAGGTATGCTGTATTAAGCACAGCCACAGTGTGGAGGGCCCTGTCTCACACACACTCAGCCAAGCCTGAGCCCCACCCTACAGACCAGGGCTTAAGATGTCACCCAGGAGGTGGGTGGGGGATCTGGGGTGGACTGGCCTGTGGTCTGTATTCCAAATCACTGCCCTCTTACCTCTAACCCCCTTACCACGCATTCATGTTTTTGAAAGACTTTCATGGTCACACACGTGTAATTCTAAGCCTGTGAAACCTGAGTGCCTTTCCTCTCCAGCCATGTTGAGGCCTGTCTGAGTGTGCTACGTCATGGGTTGGTTTCACGTCTCATTGAGACACGCGGAAATTTTGGGGGTTGCTAATTCAGTGCAAGCAGTACAGTCATCTTTGCTTTTCTGAAAACTTGAAGGTCATCCTGTCAGGTCAGCCAAGCAGAAAGGTGTTTGGGAGGAGATGGGGCAACCACAGGAGCCTAATGGCTGCTATGTCAGACCTTCACCCTGGAGGCTGCCATGGTCTGACTGGCAGCCCCTGAATGCCCCTCCTGGGCTCCAAAACAGGCCTGCAGGAGCAGCCTGGCGTAGGCAGCGGGCATTCCATTAGGCTTTCCATGGAGGAAAGGCAGTGTCTCGCCAGAGCCAGGGTGCCATCTGCAGGTATCGCCTCCTGTGCCCAGACACCGGGTCCCCTTTACTAGAGGAGGCCCATGTCCTCTTCTGTAGCTGTGTTCCTCCCAGTGACGTCATGGCTACGCTGGTGAATGCTGACTTGGTGCTGGTTTGTGGTGGCAACTAGGGACCCACACAGCAGGATCAGCCTGCCTTCTGAGACACAGGGGAGGCCTGGGCACGACGGGCCCTCCATCAAAAGCAGACCCCGTCCTGCCTCTGTCAGCTTTTTTTTGAGCTATTTCCTGTGACTCATGCAAACAAAAGAAACTTTAGGGCTTTCTCCTTCCGTGTGGTAAAGTCTCCATCTCAAGCTAAGTTTCTAAGTTAGATCAGCATCAAGCCTGTCTGAATGTTCCATTTTTGTAGGTCAATAATCTATAATCTGAGTTTTCTTTTTCTGGCACTAGAGACTGAACCCAGGGCTTTGTGCCCAGCATGTGGATTACCTCTGAGCCGCACCCCGGCCCCATAAAGTAGTTTTATTCTTGTTTTCTTCCCTGTGACTGTGTTACCCTGCCTGACCTGCAACAGGCTGGCCTTGAACTCAGTTTTTTAAAAATTACATTTGGGGGCTGGAGAGATGCTCAGTGATTAAGAGCACCTTCTGTTCTTGCAGAAGACCTGGGTTCAAATCCCAGCACCCACATGGCAGCTAACAACTGTCCAAAACTCCAGTTCCAAGGGATCCGACACCCACTTCTGGCCTCCGCAGACATTGCACGACACAAGTGCACTTACATACATGCAGCCAATACACTCATACACACAAAATAAATAAAAATAATAAATGAAATATTTTTTAAAATCACATTTTTAAAAATCTTCAGCACCTAGGAGAGAGCTCACTGATAAAATTTGCCTCATGTGCACAAGGCCCTGGGTCCAATCAGCAGCAGCAAAACACCCCCAGAAATCCTCAACAATGTTTGTAGGAATCAATCCTTTCATTTTTCTATTCAAACTAGTCATCTAAGGTAGCCTCATTATTTATTTATTTTGAGATAGAGTCTTATGTAGCCCAGGCTGGCCTCAAACTTACTACATTGCCGAGGGTGACCTTGAACTTCTGATCTTCCTGCTCCTACCTCCTGGATGCTAGGACTACAGGCATGTGCTACACCTGGTTTTTTGCGGTGCTGGGGTCCCACCCAGGGCTTTGCGTGTGCAAAGCCAGCACCGCACCAGATGAGCTACACCATAGTTCAGATGAGTGGACTAGCTGGGTTTGAAGGCCAGCACATCTTACATGTGGGTGCTGGGAATTCTGACCCCTGCAGTTGTGGGTCAAAGAGGTCCAATGTATGCTGCCCTTTGCCCCACTGTGCTGTTTGGCATGGCCCACAGCCATGTGTGCTCTCTGAGCATCACCTTATCAGTGCCTGCTCTGTGTGGCCAAGGCCTAGACACAGCCTAAAAACCTGTCCTACAATTTTCTTCTGGTTTGTATGTTTAGACAGATTTATCCCACTGAAAAGACTGAATGAAATTAGCTCTAATGTGTGACTTTATTTCATTTTTTCATAAATGACTGAAATTTAAGATTTTTATCTTAGATTTTATCCTGCTTTTGTATAGTTTAGCATCTGTTTCCAGTGATGTATGATTAAATTCCTGTAGAGCTTTTTGGTATTATAAAACTTGTTTTCTTGGCTGTTGAAATCCCCATGTGACTTGTGTGATGTTTGAGGATTTTTCTTCCTTTTTAGGGCAACTTTACTTGAACTTTTCACCACTCCCTGCTGTACACGCTTCACACGTGGGCGGGCCTACCTCAGACCCACAGCAGACTCATGTAGATGGGCCTACCTCAGACCCACACTAGACTCACACGTGGATGGGCCTACCTCAGACCCACAGCAGACTCACACATGGACGGGCCTACCTCAGACCCACAGCAGACTCATGTGGATGGGCCTACCTCAGATCCACAGCAGACTCATGTAGATGGGCCTACCAGACTCTTGCCTATACCTCTGCTGTTCTGTACAGAAAGTTCACTTTCTAAATTTGTTTACTATTTGAGAAATACCAAATACTTAGGTAGTTTACATTTCTAAAACTTCCATAATCATCTGAAATATCTGCATTATAGCTTAATTGTCTTACATTTAAATGAGATAGCTTAAAAATAATTATTACCTGGGAAGCTATTTGCGTGAGAAGGGGTGGTAAATCTGTGACCCCTGTGGGTGAGAAAGCCCCATCTTCAAAATGTTTCTGCTCCAGGGCAGGTCTGCCCATGCCATTGCCGCCTCAGCATCTGTGGCATTCACTGAAGAATGCACACGGCACCTGCCTTAGGTTGGTTACCTGGATGATTTTGTAATAGCACACTGGTATGCAATGCAATGTCTGTGGCTTTGAGTTGTGTGTTAAATAATAAATGTTCCTCTTTATGCCGTTTCCCAGATGTAGTGGAACCAGAGAGAGGCCAGCTCCTAGCCACCCACGCAGCAGCACCGCTGCCCAAAAGCCCGTCTCCACCCAGTTCTTCCCCTGCTGTGGGGAGCAAAGGTGTGGCGCTAGCTGGCCCGCACCCTGGTGGCAGCCCACCGTTCACGGATGAAGGGCTTCTGAAACCTTTGTCAAGAAAGACTTTGGTAGAGTTTCCTCAGAAAATTCCAGCTCCGTTCCAAGTACAGGGTTCTAACTTGAAGGCTCAGCAGCATGCCCAGAAAGCAAGAGATGATTCATCCTCATCCTCTTCCTCATCCAGCTCCTCTGACTCAGAGTCTGATGAGGAGGAGCACGACTCAGAAGTTGATCACAGAATGGCAGGCCGAGGCAAGGGAGGGCTTTCCAAAGCAGAGACCCCCCACCCCTTTGAGAACAGAGCCCCCCAAATTGCAGTATATGCAAAAGAGAAAGCTAAGGTGCAAAAGTTACGTGCCGACATCACCCGCCCAGAGAAGCCCCAGCAGCCAAGGAAGAAAGGGACCATCTCTAAGCCTTCAGAGGACAGAAAAGAGGCCAAACTTGAGTCTGCAGTGCCCAGATCACAGTCCAGTAAGGAGGTCTTAAAGCAGACCATGAAGGAAGAACAGCTGCAGGGAAAGAGCCCAAAGCCAGCGGAAGCTGACCACACAAAAGCCAGATCATCTGCAGGGCTCAGTGATGGCCCAGTGCCCATGCTGAGAGCAGAAGAGGCCAGGGCAGGGAGACAGCCGCCAGCTGCTGCCCCTGGGTCCCAAGGAAGACATTTGGAACCCAAAGAGCCAGAGCCTGGATGGAAGGCAGCTCCTCCCCTGACCAAGGAAGAAAACCTGGGGAAGCAAGGGCCCGAGAGCCACTTGAAGGCCAAGGTGGAGATCTTGGAAGGTCAGGAACCAGTGAGATTCCTGAAGACCATTCCTGATCAAAAGAAAGGTGTCTTGGATGAGAAGACAGCAGGACCAAGACTGGAGGGGAAGTGTGAGGCAACAGTTGATGAAGCCCAGCCCATCGACCCAGCCCCACCCCAGGAGGCCCGAGGCGACGCACAGGGTACACCTTGCCTTGATTCAGACTCCCCTTGTCCCTTAGTGTGGCTAGATTGTAAAGAACAGCTTTGGTTTCTGTTTGCTTAGAAGTACCTCAGTACATCAGATGGGGCCCGAGACACTGCCCTGTCTGACCAGAGACGCAGATTGTGGTTGTAGTTGATACACATCCACAGGTACAAAGTCCTAACAGTCATTTTTTTTCAGAGACGGGGGTCTCACTATGCAGCCCTGGCTGGCCTAGAACTTGCTATGTAGAACAAGCTGGCCTTAAACTCAGAGCTCTGCCTGCCTCTGGCTCCCAAGTGCTGGGATTAAAGGCATATGCCTCCACACTTGGCTCTAACTTCATTGTGAGATGGAAGAGTATGACCTGGGCACTCTAGGCTACTTTTTTTTTTTTGAGACAGTCTGGAGCTCAAGCTGACCTTGACCTTGCTGGGTAGCTGGGATTGGTCTTGCACTTCTGGTTCTCCTGCCTCTACCTCCCTAGTAGATTTCAGGTATACACCACTTCTTAGCCAGTATATTTTTTGGAAGCTGGAAATTTAACCTTAACTTGGAGGGGGTCCAAGTGCTCACTTCAGGAACTTGCCCAGCATCCCGATGAGCAGAGAAAGGAGTCTCCTGTTGAACTTGCATAGGTCAGGAGCCGTGGGGACACTTGCTCTGGTGACCCCCTCAGGTGGACAGACCTAGACGGGTACTCTGAGCATCCTTTTGCTTAAGGGATGCACGATACAGGATGCAGCAGGCATCAGGCGCAGGTGGCTGTGACCACCCCAGGGCTTCCTTTCTGTGAGGAATTTTATGAAGGGTTTCTCCAGGGAGATTGTGTATCCTGTCACATTGTGTGTAACATTCTCCAGGCAGCTCATTGGGAACAATTAACAGGAGTTCTCTGATTTTAGAGTCTGCAGTTCCTCAAGACCTCTTTAGGCCACATCATCACTAACAAGGCCTTCTGCACCTGCCTTTCCTTCTTCCAGCCGCCTCTTGCCTAATGTGCACCACCTGAGCGTCACTGCCACAGCAGCAGCCTGTCGGCAGGATTTATGTGTTCTTCCGTTCTTCATTCCGCCTTGCTCTTTCCTAACATTAGTACAAGGTGCCAGTGCTTGCCAGACCCTCGAGACCTCGTGACCTGCCTCACTGCCGGTGCCGTCTTCAAACATGCTCTCTCCTGGCGGGAAGTACCAAAGCCTAGGGTGAAAACAGGTCTGCAGGGCCAAGGGTGTCGCATAGTGTAGTCAGTCTTTGCCTAGCATGAGTAAGTGCCGGGTTCCTTCCCAGCACTGCAAAAAAGAGAAGCTTCCCCCTTTTTAAAATTCTTTGCAGGGGCTGTCTGACTCACAAGGTAGTCCACCCGAATCTGCTTGCGTCCAGGTGGACTGTTTTTGATACAATTTGTAACTATATCAAGACTGGCTCCTGCCAGTCATCACCTCCCCTGAGCTGTCCATCCACTCAGGCCTTGGTACCCTTTATACTGAAGGGGTCAGCTCTTGAGCGTCTTTCTGGGATCCAAAATGAGAAACAGCTTTTGATATTGGAATAGTGAAAAATATGTTCAGTTTTTGTGTGTGCAGCATGAGTAGAAATTAAGGCGCTCTGACTTGATTTCCAGAAATTTAGTGAGGCTCTGAACCCGGCCTCATCCTGTCGCCTGTGCTAGCTTTGTGTCCAGTCTCTCATTGCATTTCGTGCTCCAAAAGAGCAGCCCCGCACTTTTCATTTTAAGATTATCAAATGTGTAGGCTTAGGGATTGAATGTGTCCTGTGTAAAAGGCTAGGGGCTGGAGAGATGGCTCAGCAGTTGGCTGTTCTTGCAGAAGACCTGGGTTCAAATCCCAGCACCCACATGGCAGCTAACAACTGTCTGTAACTCCAGTCCAGGGGATCTGACAGCCTCTTCTGACCTCCTCAGGCATTGCACAACATGGATGCACTTACCTACATGCGGGCAATACACGCATACACATAAAATTAAAAAATAAAATAAAAGGCTAAATTAGTATTTTTTGTCATGCATCTGAAGATACCAACAAGTTTTTCCAAAAAAGTTAAAAAGAGCAGAAACTTTATGTCTCCTTTTTAGTTTGTTAGCATAACACTCAAATTCTATTCTTCATTATTTTGGAATTATTTCTGCTTTAGAAAATATCCGTGCGTGGTTGTTTCTCTTACAGAAGATTTCTGTGACAGGTGGTTTTTCTCCTCGGCATCTGACATGACCAGAAAAATCCATCCATAATTCCAGATCTTCCCAAATTTATGACAAGTCCAAGGACCAGAAATTCAGAGAGCAAAATGTTAGGATATTGCCATTTATTGTCAGAAAGGAAGCAGGGTCTCTGTTCATCTGTGGTGGCTGTGTGATATGGCCCAGGGAGTTTCCCGAAGCAAGGTTGGGACGAGGTGTGTGTCTTGCAGTGACAGCCCCATGTTGCTTTGCGATTGTGCGTGTTTCTTGTTGGTAAAGCTGTAGGTTCAGCCTAGCGTTTCAGGTGGTGCCTTGGTCTTGTGTTTGAAGATATGACTGCTTCTGTGACCTCTTCAACTAGACAGTCCATGCGTCCTAGCCCAGTGTTGTGGAGACTTCAGTAGCTAAGTGCCCGGGTAGGATGGATGTCTGACAGCTCTCCTGTCACTGTTTCCTCTGCAGAGCCCACTCAGGCACCCCTGCCTCCTGAGCCGACTGACACTACCACCTATAAGAACCTCCAGCATCACGACTACAACTCCTATACCTTCCTGGACCTGAACCTGGACCTCTCCAAGTTCAGGATGCCACAACCCTCTTCCGGGCGAGAGTCTCCTCGGCACTGAACTCTGCTCAGGTTGACCCTGTGTCCTGGTACATTCTGGTCTGTAAGAATAAAGTCAGAGTCACAAACTCCAGTGTGTCGTCACCCTCTCACACCTGCCAGGGGGTGGCAGTTTTCTGTTTGTATATAGTCTGTGTGCTATGCTGTGATGTCCTGCAGGTGGTCACAGTGAAGTATTAACAGTTCTTCACCTTAGGACCTGGGCTCCTCAAAACTTCTTTAAACCACATCATTACTCACAAGGCCTGGGGATATCTACTGTGGAATAATATCCTTAGGAATATCAACTGTATACAGATACTTTGTCTTTTACGGCACATCTACGGCCAGCAGACAGAGCTGTCAAATTAGACACACTAAGTACTGCCAAGCTATTTACCATTGGTCTGATTAGCAGTGGGATGTAGATAAATGTAACAGTAGCTTCTAAATCTGAGGCCTAGTCCTTGATACATTGGGAACAGGAGTTTCACTAATCTTTTTAATGTGTTTATTTTTATGTTATGTGTGTGGGTGTTTTGCCTTCATGTAAGTGTACCACATGCATGCAGTACCCATGGAGGCCAGAAAAGGGCATTGGTTCCCCTGGAACTGGGCTTAAGGGCAGTTATGAGCCATCATGTGGGTGCTGGAAACCAAACCCAGGTCCTCTGCAAGAGCAGCAAGTGCTCTTAACCACTGAACCTTCTCTCCAGCCCAAGTTTTCACTGGTTTTTAAATGTTTTTATTATTCTATGTATATGTATGTATTGCCTGCATGTATGTAGTGCAATGCCCACAGAGGTCAGAAGAGGACTCTTAACTGCTAAGAAGCCATCTCTCTAGCTTCAAGTTTCACTGATTTTAAGTACTGCATTGCAAAGAAATTAGTACCTATGTAGCCCATCCTGGCCTCAAACTCATCGTCCACCTGCCTCAGCTACCCTCGTGCTGGGATCACAGGCGTGCACCATCACATGAAGGAGGTGGGAGTTTTGTACCTCCAGGGCAGCAGTGCCCAGGTGCCCACAGCTGTGACTCAGCTACGGTAGCTGTTGAGGGGTCCACTTACTACTGAAGTTCGTGGATAGAGTGCTGCTGGGCATGCCGTGGTGGGGCAGGAGCTGACCCGTCCAGGTGAGAGCCGAGAGTGTCCTCATCTCCGCTCACTAAAGCCAGGTGTAGGCCCCAGGTGGCCTGGTGTAGCCTGCTCAGACATGTTGGGGTTTTTTTTACCTTCCTCCTGTGACCTTGCTTGGCCCACGCTGAGGGTTTTGTTTCTTTTGAGCTCTGCTCCTTGGCATTAGGTCCCAATCTCAGCCTCCTCCTTCCTCTCAACCCAAGGCCCAGCTGGCTCCTTCAGCTCAGGCTTCACTATATCCTCCTCTGTTTTCTCATCGCTGTCCACCTGATCTGCCACTGTGGGAACCTCTCGGTCTAAACCTGAGGGTCTCACACCTTTCTTGCCTTCTCAAGTCTCTAAAGCAATTAGGACTTTCAGACACAATCAGGCCAACATGCTTAAAGTTTGTGTGCACCACTGCCTGGCCACAGTACAAGCCAGACAATGACTCTGTTTGGCCGGATGCAGGAACCCTAGACGTCAACATTTTAAGAGATTTGGACAATTTCTGCCGGCGTAGCAGCAAAAGCTCCTCCAAGCTCCCCATGTCCAAGCCTTCTTTGATCTTCGAGCTAACCCCTCCGTCTGTGCGTCCTGTTCCCTGCATCAAGTCCTCCTCGCAAAAACTATTCCACATGATCTCAACCTGTCTACCCCTACCTGCCCCCCTTCCTCTGGAGCCCTCCACGCCCCCTCCATACTCCTCTACCTCAGCCTTTGATCCTAATATACCGGACAAACATCCCCCAGTTTCACTCAAACACTGCCAAGGACACAGCCCATCGTTCAGAGACTCTTGAAGGCTAATCTCCTCAAGCCCACTCACTGGTGCCTGGAAACCCTTCAGGAACTTTCTTACCAGAACCCCCTCATCTCCTTGCAGCCTCCAGTCACCTGCTGCATGTTTGGTGTGAGCCTTTGTCACTCACAGTTGTGTTTCTGCAATCACATTTCTCAAAATTAGTTCCAGGATGCCAGAAGTGGAAACCAGGCTGGAGAGATGGCTCAGCGGTTAAGAGCGCTGGCTGCTCTTGCACAGGACCCAGGTTTGATTCCCAGCACCCACAAGGCAGCTAACGACATCCATAACTCCAGTTCCAAGGGATCCAACACCCTCTTCTGACCTCTGCAGGCATTGCACGACACAGGTACACTTACACACTTGCAATACATTCATACATAAAGTAAAAATAATTTTTTAGTGGAAAGCAGCACTGAATGCTGGTATTTGATCACCTGCCTGGTTTTGCAGTCAGCACAAGGCTTAGCAGTTCAGCAAGACTTCTAATTGGACTTTAAATTTTTTCACAATTTCGTATTTCTATTTAGTGTACTTTGATCACATCCCCCATTTTCCTCTCCTGTTCCCCTCTCCCTCCCACTGAACCCCTTCTTCCCAACAAGTCCTTGACTCTGTGTGTGTGTGTGTGTGTGTGTGTGTGTGTGTGTGTGTCCCATTTCATTATATTGTGATTGTTTGCATAGGCTGGGCCTATTTACTGGAGCCTGGGCAGTTTACCAGTGGTCACACCCCTGCAGAGTATGACTCCTCCTCTGCTAGCTGCCATTCACTGCCAGTGGCCTCTTGGAGAGGGGTTCAGCCCTGTGAGTCCCTGCCCTGTCCATAACTGGATGCTGACGGCCCCCAACTTCTGCAGGTAGCCGCTGCCTCAGTGGTAACTTCATAAGGACAATGGCTCCGTCATGTCCAGAAGACAACAGCTTGCTCTCCTCATTCTCTCTGCCCCCTCTTCTGCAATGCTCACTGAGCCTTGGAGGGGGTGACACGGATGTCCTGTTTAGGGCTGAGCACTCAGCAGTCAGTTCTTAGCACTTTGACCAGTTAGGAGTCTCTGTATAAACCATCGTCCACTGCAAGAGAACCTTCCTGAACAAGACTGAGTGCAGTGCTGACTGCGTGTGTGTCATCCTCACGTTGGGTCTCCTAATCACATTTCATAAAAACTACTTAAACCACAGTACCCAAAGTAAAGATGAGGGAAATTGTAAAGTTACTGAAAACACATCATACTAGCCCAGCCACTATTAATATTCTTTATTTCTCTGGAAGTGGTGTGAGGTAACCATTTAATGTTTGGGCCATTTTCACCTGCTTGGGTTTTTTTTAGTTTAACAGGCCTGTAGAATCCCATGAGTGACAGTGTTGAGGGTGGGAAGCCTCCAGGTAGAAAGGAATGTATATGTGGTTTTAATTGTGTGTGTGTGTGTGTGCGTGTGTGTATACACACGTGCCACAGCCCACATGTGAAGGTCAGGACAACTTGCAGGAGTGGTTTTTCGATTCTTCCACCATGTGAATCCACAGGATGGAATTCAGGCCAGGCTTGGTAGCAAGCACCCCTACCCTCTGGGCCCAGGAGTACATTTTGGTCTGCACATACTCTAAAGAGGAACCTTGAGTCTTAGACCATTCTCCCCTTGGAACTGGTCTCTCTGGGCTGTAGCGGCCTCCAGGGCTTACTCAGCACCGGATGAAAAGACCGAAAGACCGTGTCAGCCACCCCAGCCATGGTCACCATGGTGCCTCCAGAGTCCTCTATCTGGTGACAATACAGTGGCTACTGTTGAGGTCAGTTGGTGGGGGGTGCCTGGTTTTCCCCTGCTCTCTTAAGGACTTCTTCCAGAGCATCTGTGTGGCTGGAACTCATTCGGTGTTCTGAGTTACTCATCAGGATGGATCTCCAGACTCTGGCTAGTGAGTCACACACTACAACCTCAGTGCTTCCTGCATTTGGCTGGGCTTTCCAGCCCATTTAACACATATGATTAAGCCAGGCTCCTGTTTTCCTTCACCATGCCCTAGCATCTTTCTAGATGTTACTGTCTCCGAACTGACACAGACACACATGGGCTGGAGCAGGTTGTGTACAAAGTCACTGTGGTCCTTGTACATAGATAGGATCCTGCCCTGCGTGTTGCCTGTAGTCACCATAAGCATCAGCTTTGTGTGTGGACGCTTTATGCTCTGCTGGTCACAAAACCCAGTCAAGAGCCTCCAGACCAGCAGCTCCCTGAGCAGTCTGACTTGGCCTTGTCTTGCACACAGGAAGTCAGCCAAGGTGAGCTCAACACCACTCTGCAAGGATAGAGAGCTTAGCTTCTGTGGAGGCAGCAGACACACCATAGATTAGGTAAAAGTGCATTAGTCTCGGCTGGAGAGATGCTCGGCGGTTAAGAGCACTGACTGCTCTTGCAGAGGATCCCGGTTTGATTCCCAGCACCAACATAGCAGCTACGAGCCGTCCTTAACTCCAGTTCCAGGGGAATCCGAAGTCCTCTTCTGACCTCCGCGGCATTGCATGACACGGGTGCACTCACATATATGCAGGCAATACACTTGTACACATAAAATAAATAAAATATTTAAAAATAAACTTAAATAAATAATGCATTAATCTCTGCAGGCCTTGTAAGTTCTTGGCTAGAGTTTTCTCTTTTCATAGCCCTTTGAAAGAACAAGGCCAGCCTTAGTGATGGGCCTGCCCTGGGCTAATGAAAAGGGGCCTGAGCAGGACCTTCTCTGGAGGCCGTTGTTTGCCGACCTCTGTGGTCAGTGAAAGGTTGAAGCAGGGAGGGGATTTTGGTGTCCTACACCCTGACCCTCCATTCCTCGCCTCTCCTTTATTCCGGAAGGGCCCAGAGACACTGTAATGTATAAAGGTCACAAGAGCTAACAGAGGGCTGGAAGGAACCTTATTTTAATTTAAAAAAATATTTTTTATGTGTATGAGTATATTGCTTGCATGTATGTAAGTGCACCTGTGTCGTGCAATGCACCCACACGGCGGCTAACAACCACCCATAACTCCAGTTCCAGGGGATCCGACGCCCTCTTCTGACCTCAGCAAGCATTGCACACATGGATGCACTTAACATACATTCAGGCAAAATGCATAAAATAAAAAATAAATAGCACCTAGGATGAGCATAGTCTATTCCTCTAATCCAAG